TTTTTTATATTATACATTTCTATTGTCATTATATTTTGTTTTGTAATTTTATATTTATTATATATATATATATGTTTTTTTTTTCAACTCTTTACTTTAGGTTTGCATAATTGCAATACACTTGTATCTTTTTTTGGTGATAATGACAAAATCATGCTGCTTATTACATTTGAGTGTAAAAGATTTTCTGAGAGGAGAGTGTGGAGTGAAATACGGTAGAAAATCAGTTTAACGTAACAATCGCTAATGCAGTTCGGTGTCATTATGCAATATTATATAATAATGGTGCCATTACATAATCAGACTCCAGTATTCCAGGGAACGTTTGCCATCCATTCCCACATGGATGTAGATCTCGGATGTTTTCAGACGGGTCCGCGTGAATCTGACTGTAATAGTTTGTGTGTATTATGGGTGTCAGAGCTCAAACCGCAGCACTCATTTCTGACGCTCCATTCTGATGTTTCCAGATTGAAAAACTGCAGCAGCCTGTAATGACTGTCATTTCAGACTTCAAACAGGAGCCGGGAAGCCCTTTCCACCTCTACAGCCAGAGGGAAGATAAAAGCAAACAGGCAGACGAGAGGAATGAATTTCATGCTTTTCTGATCACAGTGGATTTCAGATGAGTGTGTGTCAGTAGAGCACAATACTTCACTTCTGTTACTGAGGTAAAATCCCAGTCATGGTTTTTCCAGAGAGACTTTGATTTTTAACAGTAATATATATATATATAGCTTTCAAGACAGACGTACCGCGAGGTTCTTCAGAGATCATCTGCTTCTGTAGATGCCACAAGACTACCCATAATCCTCAGGTGAGGTCCACCAGAGCAATTGCATTTGCACATACACACATAAATACACTTTTTAAAATAAATATGTAAAAATATATACAAAAATTGCAAACCTAAACTAGAAATAAATGATCATAATACACCTCCAACAAAACAAAAGATTTTTTCAAATATATTTTCTCTTTTGATTTTGCTTCGTTAAAGTTTTATTAATTCAAGTTTTTTTTAAATAAATCAATATTTTTAGTACATTTTATTTCAGTTTTAGTTACTTTAGTACATCAAGTTCAACTAAATGCAATGAATCAGTTAATGTTTATTTTATTTCAAGTAATAACGTTTTTTTTATGGTTTAAGTTTTAGTTTAATAACCTTGACAATTTTATGTATTACGCTTTACAATTTTTTGTTAGATATTTTTATTTATATATATATTTCTCATATCTTAATTCAGTAAATATATTGTTTTTGTACTTATATGAATAATGAAAGTCAAAAGGTTTACTGTATATTTAATCATTTTTGATTTAATTTTATAGTTGATGAACTTTGCAACATTGACAGTTATTGAACTGCATTGAATCAGCATTGAACTGAATTGAACTGAATAATGATAATCTTCTGTAGAGCTGCTTTAGAGCTTAATTCGAATGTTTCAT